CATTCAAAAGGAATTTTAATTTATGGTGAAGTCTTCAAATTCATTTAAGTTTCAATTAAAAAAATAAATTTTTAAAATTTGAACTTAAGATAAAGTTTTTTCTTTTTACTTTTTTGATTAATTTAACCTTGTCTTTTTTGATTAATTTAACCTTGTCTTTTTTTGATTAATTTTGATTAATTTAACCTTGTCTTTTAATTTAACCTTGTCTTTTTTTGATTTTTTTGATTAATTTAACCTTGTCTTTTTTGATTAATTTAACCTTGTCTTTTTTGATTAATTTAACCTTGACTTTTCAATGATAACATTGTTATTATTATATTTTTATAAGAGCTATTTATTCTTAAGTTGTTTTATTTAAACTTGTACCTAGGGGTTCTATGAAAAGATTGCAATAACGTAATGTTATCCTTATCTTCTTTGAGCCCCTATCTGATTTAACTTAATTTTGTTGTAATGTATATACTTTTATATTTTATTTTATGAGATTCCATATGTATACGTGCATTGTAATAATATTATAAGATGTTAATCAGGAAAAAAAAAAGTTTGTTATGAATTCATTGTATTATATGATAATTCATAGCATGTTATGAACTCATGATATATATTTGAAAAATTAATAATTGCTGAAAAAACTTTCTTGTCGGGCTTTTTAAGTCTAGAAGTCACCGCTATATTGTAAAACAACGTTTAAAAATCATCCCGCGAGAACTGAACGATAAATTATTACGTCACCTGCAAAATCGAAGTAAACCCGAGACTGGCCTTAAACAACCTGAGTATGGCTCAGAGGTAGGTGAATAATTTTGTTTGCCGTAGAGTTTTTCCCATTGCTTAGAAGTAGGTAGATTTTTTAGGAAACCGTTGAGTTTATACATAAAAGTAACAAAAAATCTATTTTCAGTTTTTTATGACGACAATTTAAGCCTGAACAGCTCTGAAGAAATCTCTGAGAAAAGTGGAAATATACAAAGTTATTCATTATGTATGGATTAATTTGTTAAATGTTGTTTCATAAATTTTCTTTATCTAAATGAATAATAATTTCAAATTTTTCTTGTAAACACAGTATTCATTTTTTGGAAATATTATTATAGGCAGGCCCAGTTTTTAGAACAGACTAGTTGAATTTAAAATTAACAATTTTTTTCTTTTAGTTGCCAAATATGTTTCGACAGCAAGTCTAATTTGAATATTTTTTATGTTTAAAAGATTGTTTGTGGTTGGCATAACGTTGGCATAGTGGTAGCCCTATAAAAAAAGTGATTTTGAGAAATAAAAAGAAATCTACCATATTTAAGAGTTTATAATGTTTATTGGAGAGAATTAAGTTAATTTAAATAAAAAAATATATATTTGGTTGATCCATAATGGGGGAAAAAATGTCATAAAATCAGCAAAGTTGATCACATTTCAAAATGCTGTAAGTCAGTTTGTCTTTATCTGTTTTCAATTAAACTTTAGGGCATTCTACAGTACACTAGATACTCCATTTAACCCTCAGATTTTTCCTAAATTCAATTATAACTTAAATAAATTACATTAGAATTACAGCTAAAATTTATTTACCGAAAAAGTCATTCTAGATACAAATATTCAAAATTCTAGAAACAAAAAATAAAACTAGTTTCCATAATCATTTAATATGAATTTATTAAAACTTTCCAACCAAAAGAAGATAATTTTTAAAATTAAATAAAACACGAGGTTTATTTTTAAAACATGAGATTTATTTTTAAAACATGAGATTTATTTTTAAAACATGAGATTTATTTTTAAAACATGAGATTTATTTTTAAAACATGAGGTTTATTTTTAAAACATGAAGTTTATTTTTAAAACATTAAAAATTTATTAATAGTAAAAAGATGAAAAAGAAAAGAAAAATTGCAACAATAATAGACAAAACCTCCACTGTTGCTGTTGTACATTTTTGTAACTAAAAATTTTTTGAAAGGTTTCAATTTAAATTTCTTTACAAGCTACCCATAGCTATCAATGGTTTCGAAGCTATCGATAGCTATCGATGGTTTAGCAAGTGTCAACACAGCTCTGTTTAGAAAAATAAAATTTTACTTCATTTGAAAAAAAGAAATTTTTAATGATTAAAGTAATAATAAATTGAATAAACTCAATTCAGAAAGACTTTCATTTTTTTTATCTAGATCACTCATTAGTTTTTCTGTAATCTCATTAACGTCAGCAATTATTTTAGATCGACCAGAAAACACTGTAGTTTTCACACTGTCAATTTCATCGTAATGCCTCTTGCATGCTCTTAGGCGCCTTTGATTGTAGTGATATTCATCCCTGTTTACTAAAGACACGACTTCCTTTTCATATAGTTTGAAATTGGAGCGAACTTGATGCACGTAATGCTCCATGGAGCGTGAGAGTCTTGGGAACGTTAACACGTATTTCAGCAAGGAACTTTGATTTTGAGACATCCAATCAATGCATTGATGCAGAAAAAAAGTTTTAAATTTCTTCAAGAAATTTAAAGGAATTAACAGCAGCTCTGTTGGATTCTACGCACTCACTTCTACGAGGTTCAAATACATTTTATTTGCTGCTCAAGAGTGAGCAGCAAATAGAATGTATTCGGCAAGAACGTTGATCTTTTTAATTCTTGCTTGTAAACCAAAGTAGGTTTCAGACATATTACTAGCATTATTTGCGTCATTTGCGCCGTTAAGAGGAAGTCAATGGTTGTGGCCGATAATATATATTTTTTAAATTATCTATCTTTCAAAAATTCACTTAGATGCTCGGGCCCCTAGAACTCCGTGGCCTCCCGGGCACTTGACATATATACTTTTTCTTTGATATAAAACATAGCTTTTCGAAATTATATTCCCTATTAGGTATTTATTTCCCTATTAGGTAATATAACTATTGAGTATCCATTTAGCACAAGTGACTACAACTCCGTCCTCTTTTATATTGAAACTTTAATTTATGAACAGTCTAAAATAATTATACACAGAAAATAATTTTTATGGAAAAGATGGTCCAATACTAAGATCTACTTACAATAACAACACCTAATAAACTTTTCATCCAAAACATCTTCTCAACAAATATCTACCTGTACATATCTTCTCAACAAATATCTACCTTTACATATCTTCTCAACAAATATCTACCTGTACATATCTTCTCAACAAATATCTGCCTGTACATATCATCTCAACAAATATCTACCTGTACATATCTTCTCAACAAATATCTACCTGTACATATCTTCTCAACAAATATCTATCTGTACATATCTTCTCAACAAATGATTGAAATAAAAACAATCATTCATATGTGTACATTTTATTTGCTGTAACAAAAATAATCAACATACATATATACAAGAAAGAAAAAATATGTCCATAGAACGAAGAAGATAGTAAAATCTTATCAACAAGCTAAAAATTGAAGATAACAATATGTCATTACCATCTTTTCATAGAGTTCCTATATGTATATTTTCATAATAATAACTCTAATGGGCATAAAACTGCTGCGCTGATCAGTAAATCAAGTAAAGATAAAAAAATTGAAAAAATAGAATTAAATAAATTCAGAGTTACTCAAATGCAAATAAATCTCAAATTTTAAAAATTTCTTTTTTAATTTGAAACTTAAATGAACTTAATGACTTTGCCATACATTTAAATCCTTTTGATAAGTATTATATATATTTGAACCTCGATATACAATGCTATATTCAGTATATTTATTAAAGTTTTGAGACAGTTTATATGTATATATAATATACTTACGTTTTCTCTTAGATAATAACTTTCATTTCTATTTATTTCAAACTTGTTGTTAAGTTTTTTAGATTATTGTTGAATCGATACATAAAAATTAAATGCTAATAGATATTTATTTCAAAAATATCCATCATTTTCATATCATTCATTATAGGTTTAGTGTATTCACGCTTATTTTTAGAGTAAATGATTATGAACGTATGTTTTTGCGAGGCATAAATTTTTTTAAGTTTTGGTGGTCGAATATTCGCCTATGATATATTTGCATAGCTAATGAAGTTAATAATAATAAGGTCAGACAACTTAAGAGGAAGGTTTTCTTCTTGTATTTTCTTTTACAAAATAATATGTAGTTTGTTTTCTCTGAGTTGAGAGAATTCATTGTCAAAGCCATTTAGTATTATTAGTGAAGTTCCTCAGGGAAGCGTTTTGGTTCCAACCATATTCCTATTATATGTTAGCAATTTACCCTCTATAATCAAAAATCTTAATTTTTCTCTTATGTTATATGCTGACAATATCAAACTATATAGCTCATTTAAAGATACAGTTGCCATGAACAAAGTTTTTCTCTGGTCAAAAAAATGACACTTAAAAACTGCCAGCAGTGTTTTACATTTACAATAGCACCTGCCTCATTTTGTAAACATATATACTAGTAGTAGTACAATTATATATATATATATATATTGATAATTATGCAAGTAATACAATAATGACTCGAGGTCATAAACTTAAGTTACGCAAATTAAAGTGTCAACTTAATGTTCGAAAATATTTTTCCTCTCTTAGAGTTGTTAATATTTGGAATAACTTGCCGTCTGATGTCGAAAATGCCATAAATATCAAGAGCTTTAAAACAAAAATTTATTCCATCAAATTTTTAATTGCATTTCGTGAAACAATTTTTTTTGTCATAGTTGTACTGTATTTCATAATTTTGTAACCTTTTTAGTATATTTATTCTATTGTTGTGGGGCACTTATAATTAGTTTTTTAAATAAATATAATTTATTTTATAAAAACCATGTTCGAACTTTGTTTCAAACCCTGAACGACAAAAAAAATTTAAACACGAACGAAATACAAAAGTTTCAAAATATAAATTAGCCAGTATAAAATTACAATGATAAAAAAAATATATCCAAAAGTAAAAAAACCAATAAATATAAAATTATAGTATATATTATTAAAGAATTTAGCAACCATAAAAGCCACCATCTTTTTTTCTTGAGTAACCACGATTTGTAGCAGCACAATGATGGCTTGCTAAAAATAAAAACATATTAAACTATGTATTCCTCAATATAACATCATTTCAATTTAATTTAATATTAACTTATTCATTATTGAATTTCGGATAAAACTTTGAGTTTGAGTTGCGGCGAATGGGTTCTGGTAAAAAAAACCCTGCAGATAACGGAGAGGGTTATATTAAAAAATAACCAATTATGAGAAATGATTTCTTAAAAACGAAATTTTTCCCCTTGTATCATGACTTTTATAAATTCTATTAATTTTATAACAAGAAACTTTATAATTGGTAAATTAAGTAATCATGCTGCAATTTCTTAAATTGTTGATGTGGAAACACTTTAATAAAGTCTAAATCTAAAATATTTTTTTGTAGATGAATTATGAGATTTTTTGAAAGAAGATAATAATGCTTTTGATGAAAAAAAAGCACTATAAAAAAAAGCCACATATCTGTTAGAAATTCTGTTATGTAATCTTATTATGTAATATATATATATATATATATATATATATATATATATATATATATATATATATATATATATATATATATATATATATATATATATATATATATATATATATATAAATATATATATATATATATATATATATATATATATATATATATATAAATATATATATATATATATATATATATATATATATATATATATATATATATATATATATATATATATATATATATATATATATATATATATATATATATATATATATATATATTACTAGGTGCCTTTAACCCTCCTTTTTTTGAAAAGATTCAAAAAAATTTTAAAAAAAGATTTCAAAAAACTTATAGAAATTCATGTTTTTTTTTTGTTACAAAAACTGTAGTTTTTTTTGCAATAGAATCTAAAAAAGGATTAAGACAAAAGATAACCACGCCACATTAAAAACACTGAGTTATGATTTTCTAGGGGTTTAAAAGCACCATAATATCTTTATATATATACATATACATAGAGAGAGAAAAGATATCTTTAAACTATTGAGTGATTTCTTCTTGTTTTTCTTGCTAGTAATAAAACCTTAGTTGCCCATTTATTTAAAACTCTGAACCAAAATGCAATATAAAAAAATAAAAAATGTTATATTTTCCTTTTGCCAATAAAATTGTTTAAAATTTACAACAAAGCAGGTTAAAAAATTTCGCAAGTCTCCTGATATAGAACTATATTAAAATATCTAGATAAATGAATTATATAAATAGAAAAAAAATGCAGATAAAAAAGTAAATTATGAATAATATACAAATCATCAGATGAAGGTGGTCTGGAAAACTCTGTAAATAATAATTCAAAACTTTTAAATTTTCATTGAAATCAAGTTCAGTATAGGGCTTTTTTTATAAGGGCCTAGAAGTGATGAATATTTTTTGAGAAATATACCAAAAAATGTAAGACTACACATTTACTACAATCTAATACAATTACTACAAAATATAAAAATACTCAAAGAAATAAATAATCTCGATAGATTGCTTATTTCTTTGAGTATTTGAAGTTTGAAATTAAATTGGCATAGTATTATATACTAATATATTTATATTATCAAAATTAAAATGGTAACCTTATTATAGGATAAGAATAGTTTCTATATATAATGAGAGTATCACAGTGGTTAGGAAGTACAACATGACAAATAAACATTCCCATACAGTATACCTAGATTTAAAACTAACCTATAGCTGATTTAATTTTTTATTAAAAATATTAGTTAAATTGGTGTTTATATATGGAATTGCGCTTATATGTTTGTAACGTTAAATACGTTTAATATAACAAGAATCATTTATAAAAAAAAATTTTTTTCTGCCTAAATCATGCTTTTTATCCAATTATTATTTTGTCCAATTATTATTTTCATCCAATTATTATTTTATCCAATTATATTTTATCCAATTATATTTTATCCAATTATTTTTATCCAATTATTTATTTTTATAAAAACAGCTATGTTTTTCATTTTAATTAAAATGATAATTAAATTTTTGAGAGAAGAATTATATATTTTGCAAGAGCTGTAAATTGTTCCTGTGAACCGTTTTAGGGGAGTGTGGGCAAAAGCGAAGGCTAAAGCTCTCGATTCCTACTGAGGCCTATATATATATATTTATATATATATATATATATATATATATATATATATATATATATATATATATATATATATATATATATATGTATATATATATATATCCAGGTCTGATTAAGGGTTTTTTAGGCCAGATACAAAAATTATTTAGGGGCCCCATTTCTACAATTATATATTTTGAAATGAAAGCAATAAAACATGAAACTACTTTTTTATTCATAAAGGCATATTTGTTGCTTTTTAAATTATGACATCTTTAAAACTTATATTTTGTAACAGAGTTCTTTCAAATGTCATTAAAAAAAGAGAATTAAAACAACCATATAAAAATGAGTAATGAATACTATTCTTAAATATAGCCATTTTTGAAAAATGCATGCTCTGCACTACAATTGGTAATGGGAAAGGTTAGAAATATTCAATATGCTTATACTGCTTAGGAATAATGCTTGAGAACCTTCTAACATATTCCTGAATGTCAATAAAATCTTCCAAAGGAAATTGAAGCAATCGCACACCAAGAGCTAAACCGGCACTTTTACCTAAACTTTAATGAATCTAATGTTGCAACAAAGTTGGAGACACTAATGATATTTTTCATCAGAATCACAACATTGTAATAACGTTAGCTACACTAATATTAATTTTCATTGGAATTGCAATATTGTAATAATGTTGGCTGCAATTATGTTATTTTTTATCAGAGTTACAACATTATAATAGGTGTACTTACATTCTTTTGAATGAATATTAAACTTTTTTTTTTTGACAAAAAATTTTGTCTTTAATTTAACAGGGTAAAAAATTATGTGATTAAAAAATATATATATATTTATTGATATTGATCAACATGCACCCTATAAAAAACTAACTGCTAAACAAATAAAACTTAAATCAAAACCTTGGATCACCAATGGAATTCTAAAATCAATATCTATTAAAAACAAACTATATAAACAATATATAAAAGCAAAAAATCATAACATTAAAATTCCTATTTTTAATAAATTTAAATGGTACAGAAATAACATTTGCAATTTACTAAAACTTTCTAAAAAATCATATTACATCAACTTTTTTAACAATAATCTTTACAATGTAAAAAATACTTGGAAAGGTATAAAAGAAATTATTAATATCAAATCTTCTTCCTTTTCCAGTAAATCTATTAATCTCAAATTTAATGGCAATACAATTTCAGACAGCAAAGCTGTATCAAACATATTTAATAATTACTTTGTAAATACTCAACAAACACTGTTAACAAAAATTGTTTCACCTAAATGTAATTTTTCAGACTATTTAAATAACCCAAATATTAACTCCTTTTTTATAGATCCAGTCACTGAAAATGAAGTATCAAATCTTATAAAAAGTTTACAAAGTAAAAAAAGTTTAGGTATCAATAGTATTCCCACGTTTCTTCTCAAACTTGTTTCCCATATCATCTCAAAGCCTCTCTGTACAATGATAAATAGCTCTTTTGAAAATGGACTTTTTCCAGATGTCTTTAAAATAGCTAAAGTTATTCCACTTTATAAAAAAGGCTCTAGAACTGACCACACTAACTATCGCCCAATTTCGCTACTGTCAAACATCAGTAAAATATTTGAAAAAGCTATGCACAACAGACTTTACAACTTTTTAGATAAATATCAATGTCTTTACAAACACCAATATGGGTTTCGAAGCAAGCATTCCACAACGCATGCACTTATTGAAATCACTGAGGTTATCAGAAAAGCTCTTGACAATAAGCTTTTTGCTTGTGGTGTGTTTGTTGATCTACAGAAAGCATTTGACACTGTTGATCATTCTATTCTTCTAAGTAAACTGGAATACTATGGTATTAGAGGAATTTCTCTCCAATGGTTTACCTCATATCTTTATAATAGGTTTCCATTTGTATCTATTAACGGTAACACATCTCCTTTAGTAAAATGCACTACAGGTGTACCTCAAGGCTCTGTATTAGGGCCATTGCTTTTCCTTGTTTTCATTAATGACCTTAATTTATCATTAAAATATACAACTTCCTACCATTTTGCTAATGACACAACTTACTTTTAATTAATAAATCATTAAAAAAAATAAACAAATATATTAATCATGATCTATCTAATCTAATTCAATGGCTTCGATCTAACAAACTGTCTCTGAATACTAGTAAAATCGAAATTATCATCTTTAAATCAAAACAATCTAAAATCAGAAAACACCTAAATTTTAGGCTGAGTGGTCAAAAAATCAATCCAGTTATGTACCTAAAGTATCTTGGAATCAAAATTGACTCAAATTTAACTTTTTCTCAAAATCTTAAGGACTTGTCAATAAAACTATGTAGATCGAATGGGATGTTAGCTAAAATTCGTCATTATGTCAATCTTGAAACGCTTATCAATATATACCATGCCATTTTTGGATCACATCTTAGGTATGCGTGTCAAGTTTGGGGACAAATCCGCACCCAAGAAATTTTAAGAGTATCCAACTTACAAAACAAAGCATTAAAAATAATATATTTTCAGCATTATCAATCTAACTCCGATCATCTTTATTTTTTATCCAAAATACTCAAAATTGATGATCTAGTTCAACTATTAAATTGCCATTTTGTCTTTAATTATAAACAAAAATGTCTACCCAGCACATTTACAAATTTTTTTACTGTTAGAGAAAGCTGTCGCTATCATCTACAATCTGCTAATAGCTATAATCTTTATGTACCAAATCATTCTTCTGTAAAATATGGTCTAAAATCCATAAAATACCAAAGTGTAAAATCATGGAACAGTCTACCTTCACCATTAAAATCAATTGACTCTATTACTAATTTCAAAAACTGTCTTTTGAACTATTTTTTAGCAAGATATTATACCTGAAGACTCTGAAATATGTTGTTATGCTTTTATTATTACTACTTTCTTGATACCTACTAATTTTTTTATTATTTTTTTGTTCTCATATTTTTATTGTTATTATTAGTATTGATATTATTAATATTCTTCTATCTTTATTAGTAAATTGTTGTTTTTATTTATAACATAATAAGTATTAATATTGCTTTTTTAATTTTTTCTTAAGTTTATTTACTACTTATACTATGTAATTGTTATTACCACTATTATTGCTATTATCTAATATTGATTGTATAATATCTTTATTATTATTGTTAGTATTATTACTAATAATATTCCTTTTCATCGTCATCTTATTATTATTGTTAATATTATTTCTATAATTATTATCAATACTATTATTATTGTTATTATAATCACTTTTATTGTAATGTTGTAGGTTTTTACTTTAGATTAGTACTTGTACTATTTGTAAAAGTCCTTGAAATTTTACAACTTATTTCAGAATATAATGAATTGAAATTGAAATTGAATTGAAATTTATTTTTGAACTATCATCATTTTTGAATATTAAAATTTTGAAAAATGAATGCAATACTAAATTATAGATAATGGCTTTTTACTAAAATAAAGTGAGTTTTATTATATTTAAACTTTTTTATAAAATATAAGTATATTAGTAATTATTTCCTTCATTGGCATGAAAAAGCAGTAGAAGAAACAAACTATTTTTCCAGTGGATGGTGAATAAATAAGCCACTTACTAACAAGTTTTTATTGCATCTTTTGCATTATTAGGCACTGGTTTTTAAGATTCTATTAACTCATACCATTAAAGTCCGCCATGAGAAGGATTTAGTTATTGGGAAGGCCGAATCATTCTATTCAATATTTTATCAGTCAGTCAAACAATTTATGCAATGTTTTTAAAAATATATTTTGGATTTTTGCTATGGATCATTTTTTTCTAAAAAAATGAATGGCTTCTCATTACTATACTTTTCAAAGGTACACCATAACTCTTTTAAAATTTCCAAATAAACTACTTTTGCATTTCATACATATACATACATATATATATATATATATATATGTGTATATATATATATATATATATATATATATATAATTTCCTCTATTTTTACAAAGTTACATGTGGCATTACAACTAAAACAACCACACACCTTAACACTACATAAACATTGTTTTATCATGCATTCCATATATATACATACATATATATATATACATATATATATATATATATATATATATATATATATATATATATATATATATATATATATATATATATATATATATATATATATATATATATATATATATATATATATATTTTACTTAAATTTCAGCACATATTTCACTAAAGCCAACATATTATATACCAATTAAAAGGTTTCCAAGTTAACAATTATGTTTTGAGCAAATAATGAATATTTAACTATCATTTTAAAATTGGTTAACAAAATGGCGATTTTTGATAAGTTCAAAAGTTTGCGGAAACTAACGCTTTTAACATTTTCACCACAAAATAGCTAATTTGTTGATTTTATAAACAAATACTTTGTGGAAATAATTTCAAAACTTTATATATAAGTGATTGAGATCATGGGATCTAAGAAATGTATTTCATCTCAAGTAAAAAAATTGATATTGAGATCAGTTCAGAATGGAAACTCGTTTCGTAAAACAGCACAGCTTTATGGAGTTGGTAAGTCTGCTGTTGGACAAATTATGAAGAGATTTGAGCTTACTAGATCTACAAAGAATAAAAATCAATCAGGAAGGCCACGCAAAACAACGCGTTATCAGGATAAAAAGCTTGTAATACTAAGCAAAAAAAATCCCCGTTTTACAGCTGTCAATTTAAACGTACAAATGAGATGTTTCTATGGAATGAATTGTAGTATTTCTACTATAAAACGTTGTTTACGTCACGCTAATTTGTTTGGAAGACGCCCAGCTAAAAAACCATTAGTTTCCTTGAAAAACCGTAATGCCCGAATGGAATTCGCATCAAAACATCTAAAGTGGAGTAGTCAAAAATGGTCAAAAATTCTTTTTAGTGACGAAAGCAAATTTATGCTGTTTGGATCTGATGGAATCAGGTATGTTTGACGTCCAGTAGGTACTAGGTACAATCCTAAATACCAACTGCCTACCGTAAAACATGGAGGAGGTAATGTAATGGTTTGGGGATGTTTTAGCCGAAATGGAGTTGGTCCTCTCCATAGAATTACCGAGAATATGAATCAAGAAAAGTACAAAGATATATGTAAGACTATTATGTTACCATATGCAAAGGATAAAATGCCTCGAGGATGGATTTACCAACAGGATAACGATCCCAAACATACAGCTAAATCGGTTTTAGAGTTTTTTAAAGAGTAAAGTTAATGTTTTGAAGTGGCCATTCCAATCACCTGACTTAAATCCCATTGAACATCTATGGGAACATGTTGACCGTCAAATGAAAGGAATTAAGCCTACAAATTATGCTGATTTATTTAATAAAATCAAAGAATTATGGGACTTAATTCCCATTGACGTTTGCATTAATTTAGTTGACTCTATGCCTCATAGATGCCAAGCTATTCTTGATTGTAGAGGATATCCTACAAAATACTAATGTGATTTTGCTTTTGCAAAAATTTTGATCAAATATTGTTGAAATATTTTAACTATTTTAAAAAATAATGCTTTGTCCGCAAATTTTTGAACTTATCAAAAACCGTTGATTTGTATACCAATTTAAAAATATTATTTAGATAATAATTATTTGTTCAAAACCTAATTGTAAATTTGAAAACCTTTTAATTGGTATATAATATGTTGGCTTTAGTATGTGCTGAAATATAATTAAAATTCTTTATTTTTTTGCCTGTCCGCAAACTTTTGGATGCTACTGCATATATATATATATATATATATATATATATATATATATATATATATATATATATATATATATATATATATATATATATATATATATATATATATATATATATATATATATATATATAAATGCATAACATATGGATTTGTTATTAATCATTAAGATATGTAAATTCAAATCTATTATATATAACTATCTATTATATGTAAAGTACAAAATAAAATGCTTAGACTTAAATCGGAAATTTCAAAATTTACCAGGCGGTAAATTTCCTGAAAATATTCTTGTAAATTTCCTGTTAATTTTCCAGTAAATTTTACCTTCGCCACGCTACAACATAAGGTTAATTTAATAAATTTTTACTGCTTTTTTTTACATTCTAAAAGCCACTGAACTTAAAGTTAAATTTCAATATTATACAACATGCAATCTTACTTTTACATCATAAGTATTACAATGACAGCAACTTACAATAAAAATGTTTTAAAACAAATTTTAAGTAAAAAAATGTTTAACTTACATATTGCTCCATTTATGCAATGGATACTTTCTCTTTTGTCTGATACAGATATAACTGGAAGACTATCTTTATTTTGGCCCTGATTCTGCGTATCTTTATTATTTACCAGGCGACTTAACATATGAAAAAAAGAACAAGCTTTGTATAGAAATATACACAAAAACTGAATAAAAAATGATACTTCAAGAGATAATAACTTATTCAACAACTAAATAATGACTAATAAAAATTTATTGATCTGATATCTGAATAGCTAAATGAAATAAACTCAACAAATTAAATGAAAGTAACTAATCTAAACAGTAAACTATTTATACAAATTTTGAAGGTTCAATGTTTCCGGTTGATATAATGTTTCTGCATTTGATCGAAGGAAGTCTTTATGATGATTATACACAGATTTTATTACAAAGTCTAAACTATCACGAGGGGCCTAAAAATTAAATAAACTATTACAAAACAGTCCTAAAAACTGTTGTAAAGTGATTAAAACCATTTTCATTGTAATGGATGAGACTTTTATCATACATAAATTAAAAACGTTACTACATTTTATATACAACCTGTGGATCATCGTGGTAAACAGTTCTTCTTTCACTAGCCAGTGTTTTTGTTTCATAAAGATGATTCCAGGGTACATTTTGTTTAGATTTAGAAACTGCAAATGTGCCAAAAGAAACCTTAAAAGAATAAAAAGCAATTTTACATGAGCATTAGTACATATTGTACACTAAAAAATTGTGTTATATTTTAAAAACAGAGAAAAACTCATAAGTTTTTTTTTTGGATTTATTTTCTGATTTAAATCAAATATTTCAAAATATTTTAACAAAGTTGCCTAACAAAATTCAAAATAAAAACATAAAAGCAAAGACCAAATCTTCTGACAAATCATCCAAACCCTGACTATTAAAAATGAATATTAAATGAAGATTCAAATAAAACTGTGCCGGAATATGCTAAAATACTATAATCTAAAAACGAATTAATTGAAGTCAATTGTTTAAAACGATCTCATTCAATTTAAAAAATCCTGGTTAAAAAGATTTTTACTATTTACAGTAAATTTATTAGTAATAAATAAAAAAGTATATTTTTATAAGTTTTTTAACATGACTGCAACTATGTTAAAGACACAACTTGTGTTTTTGTTGTTTATAAATAATATAATTAATATCAATGCCATTGTCAACATTTTTTTTTAGTGCTTGTAATAAGTAAATTTGAGTTTTTAAATTACTTATAAACTGTACATGGTAACATCAAATACCTTTTGGTCATTCCATGCCAAGTGAACCAGGGTCCAACATGGACCCCCTCAGATTTTGATGAAACTTGGTGGGTTGGTTTATATCAACGAGAAAAGCAATTCCTAAAAATTTTAGCTGGTTCATGAGATATTGCCATTTGAAATTTCTAATTTTTCCAAAAATTAAAACTTTATTTGCAAAAACATGTTTTGTTCATACTTTGAAGTTCTGTATTTTAAAAAACGAAATTTCAGAAAACCTTCTAGTTTTTTTAATTATATAAAATGCTAGGCTGACTTTGTTAAAACTTTGACAATGAATTTTTTAATGTCACATTTTATCCACAATGGCTGCCTGAAAAATGTTTGCTGATATTAAAAGTTGATTTTTGAGGGGTCAATATACAAAATTAGCAACTTAAGAAGTGAAAAGACATATCTTTTTAGTTTCTTTTTGTGCATAAAGACACTTCATGCATTTGAAAAAAATCATTGAAACCTTCAATAACAAATTTCTTTTAAGATAAGTTAAAATATGTGTGAAATGTGCATGTTAAAAAGTAAATGGACAGGGGGAGAGACAACTAAGTCTATTTAAAAACTAAGTTTAATTCAATCTTAGTTTATAGCTTATTTCTAGTAATGATTATGATATACTTATATGTATATATTTTTTGTATTGCGGTAGATAATGAAAACTAAAGTACATCAATGTCTATATTTTTATCATTTTTAATGCATATTTGTGCCAACTTCATTGCTCTGACTTTGTCACTTCCCCATGAGTACCCACTAATTTTTTTTCTGAATTCACTTTATTAAAGTCTGTTAAATCAGTAAAAAAAAATTATAATGAAAATCAGTGTTGGTCGATGGTTTAAAGGGAAGGCATAATTTTTAAAGTTTTCCCTGGAGCCATTTTCAGGAGTCCATTATTTCTTACTGAATTGTATCTTATCAGCAAATTTTTAAAAATTAGGAAGACTACCATATATAAAAACTAAAAAGATATGTCTTTTCACATATATTTTCATACATATATATATGGCTAAAAAATCTTTCCTGTAATTTTTTTTAAATATTTTGGAATCAAAATTGACTCGAATCTATTCTTTTCCTCTTACCTTAAAGACTTAGCAGTGAAATTATCTAGATCAAATGGGATGCTATCCAAAGTTCGACATTATGTCAATCATGAAATGAATTATTGTGGGTCATTATTATTATTGCTTTTGGTATTGTTATATGTGATATAAATATTATTATAACATTATTTTATATGTGTTTATTTATATGTGTATGTATGTATATGCGTGTGTATATGTGTGTGTACATATATATGTATGTATGTGTCTATTTGTATATATGTATGTGAGTGCGTGTGTATGTGTGTATATGTATGTATGTATATATGTGTGTATGTATTTATGTATGTGTTTATGGGTATGTGTGTTGTATGTATATATGTGTTTATATGTATATGTGTATGCATGTGTGTATATGTATATGTGTGTATATGTATGTATCTATATGTGTATAAGTGTATATATGTATATGTGTACGGGTATATGTATGAATGTATATATATGTATATAATGTGTTAGTGTATGTGTGTATATCCGAATGTGTATATGTATATGTGTGTATGTATGTAAATATATATATATTTATATATGTATGTATGTATGTATGTATGTATGTATGTATGTATGTATGTATGTATGTATATATACATATATATATATATATATATATATATATATATATATATATATATATATATATATATATATATATATATATATATATATATATATATATGTTATACATTTTTTGTAACATTAACTTTTATTATTATTACTATTATCATTGTTAAATTTTGATAAATAAACTAGAACTGTTTCTTCTTATTAAATTTTGATAAATAAACTATTGCTGTTTCTTATTATTAAATTTTGATAAATAACCTAGTGCTGTTTCTTATTATTATTGTTTTATATCATTATATAAATATATTCTTAATAATTACTGCTATCATTCATATTTTATTATTATAAATATTAATTTAATTTGTATTTACTTTATATTATTATAATATCAGTTATTACTAATATTATTTTTATATTATTACTATTATTATCATTAACTTGTTTATATTATTGAAAACAACAACAACAATAACAATATGTTTCGTGTTACAGATGTTACAAAAACACAGGTCATTGCAAATAGTGATTCACTAATAAAGCGCAATGACCTAAATAAGATAAAAATTAATAATAACAATAATATGTAATAAGTAAAACCACATAAAAAAATAGGTTATAAAAGGAAGTTAAATAACATAATATTAACTAATAAAAGTAAAAACTGCATAAAAATTATTTAGTTATACCAAAAAAATCAGACTTTTTGAATATATATAACATAACTAATATAATGTACATTTATATATGCACATATACTTTAACAAGAATTATAATAAAATTAGTAAACTATAATAAAAATTATAATTTAAAATAAAATATTAAAAATAAAATTATAATAAAATAATAAACTATAATAAAAATAAAAAATAAGTCAAAAGGTAAAAAGAAAGAAAAGTAAAAAGTAAAGTTAAGCGTAACCTTTTAGGTAGAAATGATGGAGTGACTTTAAGAACAGACTCTTGAACCTATGGATGAGACCAGATTGTAGGGTGTTTGAAAGGGAGTTCCAAGAAAGGATACACTGGTATGTAATGGAATTAATCCTATGTTTACTTGTCTGTTTTAGTGGAAGAGTTAAGTTGTTATAGGTGACTGATCTTAGGTTATGCCCACATGTTGTTCTGTTATTAAAGTAGTTGTGAAATATAGTAGAAAGGACACCATGTTGTTGATCCCAGACAAATGAACAATTTAAGAACTGAATTAAGTCATAGAAACGAAGAATTTTGGATGTAAGATATAGGATGTCAGTAGGAAATTATTTTAATTCACAGTTATTATTTATATTGTTGTTGTTGGTATTATTTTTGTGGTTAACATCGTTATATAACTTTTACAGTTACTATTATATCTTCCTTTTCTTATAATTATCACCTTTTATCTGATTTTTACTTTTCTTTTTATTATCACTATTTATTATAATTAAAATTGATAGGTGTTTACTTAAGATTATTATCTTTACTATTTGTAAATATTCTTGATATCAGATCTTTTATTCAGAATAAATTTGATTCGATTTAATCAAAGAGTTTTAATCAAAATCACCAAGAGTTTTAATTAAAATCATACTTCTAAATATCCTTTAAATGTTAATTCATGAATTAGTTTTAATTTCCTCATTTAATGTTATTCACTCATATTGCGGGTAAATATTAACCTAATTATTTAACTGTTTTGATTAATGATATATATTGAATAGATGTTTAAGTACTACATCAACTAGCCAACGAGTATCACTTCGAATTTGAACATTTTTATTCTTATTTTCAATCTTTACAAATTTAACGGAAAAATCAATATTGACATTTTCATGAAACTCATTGTTTTTTTTACATTAACTATATTACTTACATGTTTAGCAGATGTAAAATCGTTGTCGTTTTCAAATCTTGGATGAGGAAAGGGATCGCGAGGCATTTTTGATAAAATTAAGTTGAAATATTTATTGTCATGGTAACAATAAACATTTTGTCACGTACATTATGACATGACGTCATAAGTTAAGAATAAAAAGACCTTTGTACACAATAGTCGTTATTCTTAACTTATGACGTCATGACAAAATGTACGTGATTGTTAAGGCGAGTTTCTACTCATTCGTTTTTTCACGGGAACGGGAAAGGAACGGGAAAAATAATCAGTATAATTTTTAATATGTTTAAAGAAAATCTACGCATGCTCACGTGATTATTTTTACCTTCCCTATCCCGTTCCCGTGAAAAAACGGATGAGTGAAAACTCACCTTAAACGTGACAATAAATGTTTCAACTTATAGTTATCATAAATGCATTTCCTCATCTAAGATTTGCTCATGTGCACATTCGCACAGGTGCGAATCGACAGCTTTTAACTGAGTTAAGCTCTTTTGTGAAACTCTTGTTTCAACGTTGTTGTTTACGTCCTCAAACATGAAAATTGCAATGATGGGAACATAAAAGTCCTAAAACTCTTACTCTAAGAAATTTAAAATTTAATGGTGATTATTAATTTTGTTAAGAATAATAAAAAAATATTTTATCAACTTGTTCATCTCATGTTATGGACGGAGGGGAATTTTATTAAACAAGTTTTTTGTAGTCATAAAATCTTTTTATCTAAGTTTAAATGTTTTTAGATGTTGAAATGTCTTATGTGGAAAGCCAGATAGAGCTTCTAATGTTTATCTAAATCTTTATATTAAAAAAAATCTATATGAAAAGTTTTGTCATTAATAAAAAACGCACCAAAATACGACACAAATTTGAAATGCGATGGTTACTAATAACTAGTAATCACATTTGCAATTAGAAATACCTATGAGGGATCCATTTCAGTTAGCAATACCTGTGAGGGATCCATATGGAACCCTTATAGGTATATTATTGATAAATTGTATTTGGTTAAGCTGGTTGGCAATGACGTCCTGAAGAGATCTCTGTTTTTTGCCAAGTAAGGCCTAGAAGATTTTTTTTTCCTACTTACATTAAAAAAAACATTAAAAAAAAAAATTAGGTCCTCGTTACCTAATATTTGCAAACATACCAACTATAAGTAAAAAAAAATATATATATTATGGTCAACCTCTACTTTTTCTTATAAATGCTTTCGAAAGCATTTATAAGGAAAAGTAGAGACCCAAGAATAAACCTTTAGGGCAAGAAATCAAAGATGAACTTGTATCTTTATTATTTTCATAAGGTATAGGTTGCGTATACTAATAAGGTAATCAGCCATCTACCTGTTTGATTTGCTACTTATACCATATGTCTTAGGTTTTCCTAAAAACAGTTTGTGATCCACTATATCAAACACCTTGGAGAGATCGATTAATAAATATCAAATACCTAAAGTAAATTCTTCGTTTGCAAAATAATTATTTTTTATTTCATTTATTAAGTATAGTTTTGCATGTTCATTTGAAGTCTTATGAAATTCAAAATGTTTTGTATAAAGTAAATAATTATCTTTGTAAATCTAATCTATTGAAGATAATTTATTTGAAAATCTTAGAAAAAACAAAAAGTATTAATATCGGTCTATAATACAACAGACAAAATGTAAGATTTTTTTTTTTTTTTTTTTGTCATATAAATAACATAAAAACATATGTATATTTATAAGAAACAAACAACAAACAAACAAAAAGATAAAATTCATAGGTCCTGAAAGTCTCTCTCTAACTATGAAAATCTATTTTTTTTTTCTTATTTTAATATTACAAAAGGACAAAAGTTAAATACCTAAGTAAAAGCAAATGCTGTAGTAAAGCAAAAAACTAATATCTTATTTGAGACCTTATTAAAAAACGGAATAGTTAAAACACCCATATTAAATCAAATTCTAATTTTTAGCAAATTATCAGCAAATACATCATCTTTAAGCATTTATGGTTATCGGCAAATACATATTTCTAAGTATTTATGGTTATCGGCAAATACATCTTTAGTTTATTCAGTTTCGCTAAAACAAATTATCTTAAAGTTTTCAAAACTAGTTTTTAGTGTGCAGGTTAATAAAATCATCCCAACCTAAAATAAAATACTAAACCCCAATAATTGGAGCATCGGAATGTATATTTTTTGGCCTAACTAAAAAGGGGCAATAATTTTTATGACCGAAATTTTTTTAAGTATCCTTTTCATATATAGATCGTTAGAAAGATTATTTAACACTGATTCTTGTTTGCGTAAGAACTATGGGTTAAAAATAAATATTTAGTAAGATATGTTTATTACTTTAATGCAACGTTCTATAGATTCAATGAATTTAATAGTACCCATGAGCATAAAAACATTTGAGTTAATCACTTTTGTTGTAAATGTTTATATTTTTACTACACAATTTAGTAAATAATTTCAAGTATTAGTTAAAAATTAAACAAAAAAGAGTCACGCCTTTTTTAAAAACATTATTTAGTAATTTGTTTTGCTTATTTTGATTTTCATTTAATCCTAACAAAAATTTTATCTTTAGTATTAAGCTAATTGTTCTCTTATCTACCAATATATATAAGCACAGAACATTTTTAAAACGTTTAAAAAACCTATGAAAACGGTTTTTAACGTTTTTTAAACGTTTTAAAAACGATCTGTGTTTGTTGGGATATATATAATCTATTAATATAATTATCATACTTTTACCATGTTTATATCTATTATAATAATATTTATAAACATGGTTACAGTTTACAAGGTCATTATAACTTCCTTTTTGTAATGAAGATTCTAAACTCATAGAGCCGGTATTATGCATTTTGTAGATGCAAATATATTGGTTCATTTTTAGATGATTCAAATTGTCGTCGAAGAAAAGTGTTCGGTACGCAAAGAATTTACGTACGGACGTATTATTGAGAAAACACTTAGTATTGAGTCACAAGTCATCGTCAAATTGAAGGGAATAAAAACACTAGTAAAGTTCAGTAAAAAAAGGGAAATGGAAGATTTAAGTTCGTACTTCAATGTTATGAAGAATCAGTTATCGGACGTTCCAAACGACCTACCATTGAGGCAAATGACACCATTAATCTATAAGAAAAGTCATCATTATCAAGAAGGGTTATTAAGTGGGTTGCTGATAATGTAGATTACACATTTCATGGGATTGGTATTATTGGTTAGCCGGTTATCTGGATGCCAAAAATTCCTATAAAACCTATATAACAAACTTAGAAAACACCCAATATAATTAAGGATTTTGGTGTTGACTTTTTACTTTATCTAGGATCTAGTAACTTTGGCTTTCAGATGCTTAAGTTTAGACCTTACAGAGGAACGTCATCTCCCATTACACTTCCTAGAGAATTAATTTGACTTGTTATGGCAACTGGTTTTTTCAGTTCCACTGAGTACCCGCGGCCAAACTGGTTAGGTTTTATGCAATTAGTAACTACTACAATGATTCACCCAAATATCATTAGTCCAATAATTGATTCTTCTGAAGAAACACGCGTTTACTTTACTCTTTGTTTTGTCATGGATCAGGCTAAAAAATTAAAGTTACCAATATCGTGTGTAACGTTTGACCAACCGTTATGGATAAAAACGACAGCAATCATTAGAGAAGAAAATTTGATTATAGTATGAAGATTGGGTAGATTTCATACCATAATGAGTTACATTGGAAGCATTATTAAACCTATTAGAGGATCTGATTTGGACGAGTTGCTTAATTAGATATATGCAGAAAACATCGTTATACATATGATGTCCGTAAAAGCTATCGCAAGGCCGTTTAGAGCGCACATTCTAGCAGAAAATGCTCTTAAAGTTATACAAGAGGATCCTTATTAATAACAAACAAGGACAACAGGACTTGTACCCATCGTTGGAAATAATGGACACAAGACCTGAAGACGGACAAGTCTAAGTCTTTATATATAAACGGATTTTTTGTCTTTAACAACATTTTCGAACTATTTTTTCTTTTACCGAATCTTTTTTTTCTATTTGGTACGTTATTTTGACTTGCTTTTTATCTTTATTTGTTTATATCTTTTGATCTTGTTTTTACTTCATTTTGTTTTATAACTTGATATTTTTTAAAATGGTGTTTTGATATTTTTTTCTCCATTTTATTTCTTTCCTTTTTTACCGTTAAAATCAATTCTAACAATTCTGTTTAAAAAACTTGCTGCAATTGCTCTAAGAGATGACAATATTGATCATTATTTTAGTTATGATACGGCTACCCTATTTCTGGCGTTATTTAAAAACAGATTGATGAGGAAACTAGATAAATCATCACTGCATAAAGTACTTTTATTTAAAGAGGCTCAATGCAAAGTAGAAGAAACGAAAAGCAAAATTTGTCAGATTTTTAATCAATGGCAGAGCTTTGATACATCTAGTAAGATGAGTAAAAGGATTAAGATTCAACAAGATTTGCAAGTCGCACTTAACATACATTAAAAGCAATTTTGGTATAGTAAGTGTCGTATATAAAACTTGGTCAACAAAATCAAAGAAGCATGTTAGAAGACAAGAAGAAACAAATTTTAAAGTGGTCAAAATAACACATTGCTGCTTGGCCAGGAACACTTTTTATTAGCTCAACAAAACAAAGAAGAATTCATTAAACTGCTAGCAAAACATCTTATAACTGAAAAGTAGAAAATATATATATGCCAAGGTGATGCTAATATAAAAATTGTTTCAACCATTTTACAGCTAGCATCAAATAGCGAATTTGTAGTTGCTGCTAATGACACTGATATAGCTGTTAAGCTTTTGTATCATTGGAGAGAAAACATATACAATATCTATTTCATGTCTGGAAAAGGTAATCATCTTTGGAGCATCAACTAACTAATTCACATCATACAAGCGAACATAAATGTATAATAAATCACTTGTGAATTATTATACATTTATGTTCGCTTGTGCAAAGTTTTACCTTTATAGTGTTTATTCCCAATTGCATTGAAATTCTACCGGACTATTTAGCGCTTTTTATGTTAAGATTAAAATGAGATAAGTTC